CATGAGCACACCCATGACTGTGCACAGCTTGTTCGCGTAGACCCAGGATACAAACCAGAAGCTTTCCCACATACCCTTCAGCAGTATTCCTATCACCCGTGCACCACAGCTGGACCAGATTAACTTTTTTTGTTGTTGTTGTTACTTTTGGTATAGGGCAGGTACACTCTCCAGAGAGAAACAAGACTGAGAGAAAGGAAAAGTGAGAAATCACTCCCCAGGGGCTACAGCCATGCCACAATCTCTTCTCCTCTATTCTCTTCTTGGGATTTTGAGTGCACACAAACACATGTTCCCAGTGTGATTGTCAAACTGCCAGGTCAAGGACTCAAACCACAGAGTTGACAATGTGAAAACCAGCACTTTAACCTCTATGCCACCTGCTGGACCCACAAATCAAGACTTCTTAAGGATAATCTTTTCAAATTCTTAATAGTCATCATCAAAGAAAAATTTGTTCACACAAATAAATCAGGAAACATTTCAGCATTTTTACCACCACCCTAAAATTTATAATAGTTAAAACTATATTTAAAGAACTTTGGGCCAGCTGGGTGGCATGCTGGTTAAAGCAGCTGGATCCTACATGGTTGACTGTGTAGTTCAAGTCCCAGACTCAGTGGCCTAAAAAACATACCAGGCACATGTGCAGCATGCCCAAAATCCTGAGAGAAGACTGGGGGAGAAGGGGATGCCATTTCTGCCTGGGGACTATTTCTCACTTTTCCTCTCTCTTTCTCTCCCTAGTGAGTCCACGCACCTTATAGCCAAAAATAAAAACAAACAAAAGAAAACAACCAGCCAAACAAAATGAATCTAACAGCGCTTCCTCTTTATCATACAGAATACTCAAATTTCTTATGATAACATGACAATTTTGAGGCCAGTTGAACTTTTTCATAACAAGTGTTTAGAAAACAATGATAGAAATTTTATCTGCAGAACACATAGGCACCATTAGTCATCTGTAGCTAGCTTGGTTGAGGGGGCAGAAGGAATATTAGCTGCAAACAGAAATGACAGCTGAAAATGATGTCAGAGAATGTCTTGAAACTGCACTTGCCAGTAGTACTCTACTCCACCTTTTCACACTCACCCTTACAAGCTACATGGTGGGCACCTGGAACAGAAACCCTTCCAGCATCTCCATGTGGTAGCTAAAATCCAGCTTAGCTTTTCCTGGGATACTGAGAACCTGGAATAAAGATATGGCAAGTACAAAATTTAAAACAAACTCAGATACCAAAGAACTTCATAAATGTGAGACTGCAGTGAAAAGGGAACTCTCCTATACCATTGGTGGGAATGTAAATTAGTATAGCCAATGTGGAGAGCAATATGGAGGTTCCTCCAGCAGTTCCATTCCAGGGTATCTACCCAAAGGATAGGAATACAATCAGTCAGAAAAATATTTGCACATCCATGTTTATTGGAGCATTATTCACAACCCAAATCTCCAAAAACTAATGAATAAATTGAAAGACTGTGGCACACATACACTATAGAACACTACTCAGCCATAAAAAGTGAGACCCTGGCATTTGATAGAAAGTGGACAAATATGGAAGATTTAATGCTAAGTGAAGCAAGCCATATTGTGACAGAGAGGCATTGCATGTCCCCACTTTATACTGAATGTCTGTACTCTGTGGCAGAAACTGAAAGATAGGAAGGTATAAAGGCATAGAGAACAAGTGTAAATACAAGAAACAATGTAAGAAGAGGGTGGGCAATCGAGAGCAAAAGGGAGGGAATCAAGGAGAAAAAAATGCAAAACATTTAATGTACACAAAAATGGAAAATTATTGGACCAGCAGATGGCGTAATGGTTATGTCTCAGGACTCCCATGTAACTGACTGCAGTTCAAGTCCCAGTTAGGGTGGCTTAAACTCACACCGGACATTTGTGTATGTGTGCCCAAGATCCCGAGAGGAGAATGAAGAAGAGACTGCAGCATGGCCATCCTCCCTGGGGAGTGATTTCTTGCTTTGTGTCTCTCTGCCTTTCTAATGAGCACACATGCCTGATAGCAAAAACCTCTCTTAAAAAAAAAAGAAAGGAAATTACCTGTTGATGATAATGTGTATGGTAATGTTTTTGAATGGACTAACATGCAAGGTATTCAGGCTGGGAAGACTCATTTTTATGCTGTGGAGATGTACAGTAATTAAAGGTAAAACAAAACAAAACAAAAGAGAACTTTATGAATTTGAGGAGCTTCTCTCTAGGAACGTCACTAAGATGCTAAGTGACTGGCTATGGTCTACATGCTCCAGTTTTTAATATAATATAGCAGAGAACTGTTTATGAACTTACTGGAAAGAATAATCTTTGAGTGAATCTAGCTGGTTTGATTTTGGCATGGGTAGTAAAGGTAGCACTTTCAGGCCAGCACGTATCATAGGAGTTACATCACTAGATTCCCACATGGCCAACCACGGTTCAAGACCTGGACTCAGTGGCTGGAAAATCACACTGGGCCCATGTGTGTGTATGCCCAAGATCCCAGGAGGAGAATAGAGAAGGGATTGCAGCATGGCCATCTCCCTCGGGGGTGATTTCTCACCTTCCTTCTCACTGTCTCTCTCTCTCTGGTCAGCACACATGCCCTATTGCAAAAACTTCTAAAAAAATTAATAAAGGTATATTTTATAGGTATGAGAGCCTTATTAGGGTTCTCCAGAGAAACCAAACGAATTGCATACAAGATGATGAGAACTGACTCTCATAATTATGGAGGCCAAGAAGTCCCACCATGTGCTGTCAGCATGCGGAAGAATGAGGAAAGCTTGTTGTGTAATTCAGCCCAAGTCTAAAGAACTGAGAAATAATGGTGTAACTCCCAGTCCAATGCTAAAGGACTGTTATCCAAGTCAGATATTAGGGCATGTGAAATGATGTGCAGAGCACCAATAAGCAAATAAAAGCAGATTAAATCAATAGGTTGGCTATTTTCACATATCATTTGTCTTTTTGCATTTACAAGCTAAGATGATCATCTTTAACCTTGTGCCATCACTCACAGGTCCATATCTGGTTTCTCTTAAATGTTGTAATCTTAGTACACTGGAAGCTCCCAAGTGGGTACTCAAAAAATACTTTCATATTTTGGAAAATGACTTGGTATCAGCCCTCCCTTTCCCTAAAGTGTAAGATTTGTTTCTATTCCTTCAGTTTTTACTTGAATAACTAAGTGATGGGATCATTTAAAAGAGGAAATGTACAGGGAGGAATATATTTGTGGTGGGTGACAATGTTGTAGTCTGTTATTGATATCTTGAAGTTCAAGTATTTATGTTACATAAAAATGTCTAATAGTTAAAGAATTCAGTAAAAATCTGAGTATTGGGATGTTGGTTGTCATGATAAAATGGTACAGGAAGTCAAGACCCTAGGTAAGGCCATCCAGAGAGTATGTACAGTGAGAAGACATCATTCCTTCTTTCATTCTTTTATCCATTCACCATTCTGTCACTGAATGTTACAAGATCTACAAATAAAGTGACAATGTTTTCCAGGAGTTTACAACTTTTTGATTGTCAAATCCAATGACCTATTGACAATTGCAAAGGTATTTAGTTTATTTCTGTACATCACATACTTCCATGGTTACTCCTTCATTGAAACTCTCTCTAGTCACATGGTCACAACTGGATCATTATTCACTTCACTTCCTCTTAGAGTGCTCTTTTTTTGGTGTCTTAATTCTCAGAATTTGATATTCACAGAAATCCATCCCTGTTCCTTAAATCCAATTTTCCCACAATTAGGCTTTCAGGTCAAAATGACTAAATGAAATTTAACAGCTAGTTTAAAACTAATAATTTGTGTTGGTACTATGACATAGTAATACTGTCTTCCTTGACGACTGACCTAGTTTATGAAGATCATAATTGTTTTAATCTCTCTGAGCATATTTGCCCAGCGACAAAATTATCTGGCTTGCATTGCTATTGCTGATTAACTTACCAATGTTAAGTCCTAGTATAGTGCCCCATACTGGTAATCCACAACTTGAAATGAACACGACAAATTATGCCAAATTATAAATGTATAAATAATTGTCTTATTTCACCTTCTGTAAAATTTCTAACACCAAAATAGCAACTTCTATTCGTGAGCACTTAGCCTCCAACTCAGGATGCATGGGCTGACTAGCTCTATTTCTTAGTCAGGTATTAAACGGTTCAGGGTAGTATAAATAGAGGCAACCGCTTCCTTCTGTAACCACGTCGATGAAAAACACTTTCGGCAGGGCTTCTTAAAGAATCAGCTCGGCTTAGCTTAGTGCTGAAACTGAAGAATAACAACAGTAACACAAACCAACACCCCCCGGGAGTCTGCGGGCACTTCAGAGAAGAGGAAGTGGATATGCGACAAGGTTGACGAAGCAAAAATGAAACCACAGTTTTTATCCTTCCCGCTGGTTCTCAAAGGACCAACCGCACTGGTTTTCTACAGTGCTAGACGTCACTTCCCTTCGCGCACTTTAATTACGTCAGCGCGTCAGCTCTCGCGGTATCATCCGTTCTAAGGCCCTTTAACAAAAATCTCGCGAAATTTATTCCACAGGTCCAAGCTATCCTCTCATCCTCCCCTACCTACCCCCGATCTGTCCTTCGTTTCCCTTTCCAAGTCACAAAATTCTCCGCTCCTTCGAGCCCTCCGCACTCCTTCTGCTTCCGATTTCAGACCGGAACCGGAAGTGTAGTGGGCGGGGCCCGGCAGCGGAAAACGCAGCGGAGCCAGAACCGAGACTCGGCTGTGGTAGCTGTTCCTACGCCTGCCACGGATCACCGGGTGGCAGGGCTCTGCGGCTCCAGGCTGAAGGGGGGTGTGGGGGGGGGGGGGCGC